AGATATTTACAAATTTTGATAGTTATTTAATAAATATTTTTTATCTCATGTCTTTTTAAATAAAATAGATATTAGATATAAATTAATATTAACATATATTAGCCAATTATATGAACTGATATTCACATAAAATATATATAACAGATATTTATAATACTATTCTCGCCCTACCTGCCTGTATAAGGACCCATGTCTCAAACCCTTATCTTTACTCTAAGGTCTAGGATTCAATACTCTAGCCTAGCCCTTATAATCTTATTTATAAATATCTATAAGTAGCTCAGACCTATATAGAGATCTAGGTAAAGGTGTGCTTGAGATTAGGATAGGATATGATTTATACCAAAATTTTGCAAAAAATTTTTTTTGTTAGAAGCCAAAAAGTAGTTTTATAATCGAAATTTTAAGATATAGTAATATTTTTTAAAAAAAATAAATTTGTATTATACTTGATTATAGATTATCTAATAATACCCATATGCAGACAACTTTTGTACAAATAGAAATACTTTTATTTTTTTATTTTTTTGATATTAAGATGACCTTTTGGTCATGTTTCTTTTATTTGATTATAGTTATAATTTTTACAATATGATTTTTATACTATATATATATTTGAAGAATACAACTAACAACACATACAACTTTTGGTTGTCTATTTAAGTAGTCTGCTTATTACTAAGTTCTACACTAAATATCATACCTATAACCCAACTAGAAGGTTATCTATTTAAACTTTTTGCATCTATATGATTACTCTATTAACTAAGCGAGAATACTATATACCTCCTTATTTTTAGATATCAACTTAGGATTTTAAAGCAGACTCTTACTCTATAGAGAGCCTTTTATTCTTAAGATAAACCTGCTAAAACCTTCTATATTCACAATTCAGCTGATTTAGTCTTTAGTTGATACGCATAGACTGAAGCTATTACTTGTATTCTAGTTTTCATAGTGGAAGTATTTTCTGGCTATTTTGTTCTTACCAGTTTTTTGTACTGTTTTAACTATATTATGGTCTGATTGCCACTACACAATCTACTTTTGCCTTTAACTCTTAAATTGTAATATAGACAAATTTGCTTGTGTTCTTTTTTAAACTCTATTTTTTAATAAAATCTTAAATATCAATTTTAACAATATATTTCTTAATTAAAATATCTTTTTAAAGATCTACTTTATCAACTTTATTAGAAAAATTTTTTAAAATTATTAAAGAACTTTTTGATTAATTAAAATGCAAAGTTTGTATAATATTAGGGTTTACTATTAAAAAATTTTTTAAGTTTTCTAAAATTTTATATGTTCCCAAAGCTAGAAAAAAATTTTGTTCTTAAAACAAGTATTAATTATTACAAGTAAATTACAAAATTTATAATAATTAAAATTATAATCCTTAAGTCAAACTATAAAGTTGTATTAGAAACTATAGGTCTAAAATTAATATTTAAGAGATTTATTATAAATAAACTAAAAAATTTTTTTAAAAAAATTATTTATAAAATTGTATACTTTTGGTTTATAAATAACCTATAATTTTTTTCTTATAATCTAAAAAATAAATACTACAAAAAAGTAATCTTTATTTTTAAATATAATTGTACAAAGTTTTATTTAATTATTTTGGTTTTTAAAAAAAGTAAATCAGAACTAAAAAAGTATAAAAACACAAGCAAATTTGCCTGTATTCTATTATAATCTAAGGGATAAAGTTCACCCAAACCTTAGTATTCCCTTTCAAGTCTACTTGGTATTTTTACTTTTTAGTACTGCTTTAGTTAATCTCTTCAAACTACCAATTTAGATGGCCTGTAAGAAATACCAGTTCCTTGGTATTTGTATATAGATCTTTTTACTCTGGTTGATACTCTGGTGGCCTAGTTGATAGGATACCCTTGTCTAATGCCTGGTTCTTGTTTAGTTATATTAATCTCAGATATATTCTATTCTGGTAGTACCGTCAAAGATCTGTATTATCTCTCTATTCAGGACTTCTTAAGTAAGCACTCTATTGCTATATTAGTCTTGTAACTTTTTGTGATTTCTTGTGTAATTTTTTTATTACACAAGTGCTCTAGAATCTTTCAGTTTCTAGTAAACTATTAATTGGTATAGCCACAATTACAAGGTCTTGAGTTTTTCCAGCTACAATGATAGTTGCTAAATCTGTTTTTCTTAAATTCAATTTTTGTTTTTAGTAGGAATTGAACTTATATTTAACTGCTTGAAGTGTGACAATTTTACCACTTCACTAAGTCACCACACCTTTAGAAATGCTTTTATTTATATTTAAAAATATATATAATATAAAAATTTGTTTTACAATATTTTATTTATTATTAAATATAGTTCAAATAATAATAATTATATAAAAATCTATATTTATTAAAAAGTTTTATTAGTAGAAACTTTAATTTATCCACAATATTCTATCTCTTTTATATTTAAATAATAATAAATAACAATTTTTCTAATACTCTTTTTGATAATCTTTTAGTCAATATAATAATAAAACTAAACTACAGAAAAATGTTATAGGAAAGTTCAAGTTAAATACTATTCTAGTCTTGCTCTTGTATAAATAGTTATTAACAAAACTTAAAGATATAATCATCAAGAAATAAATATAACTTGGGTAGTTTTTTTAAAGATTAAGCTTTATTTTTTACTTTAGTGAACTTCTTAAGGTTTTTAATATCTAAATCAGAAAGTTTATTTTAAGAATTATTTCTATCTCTAAGCAGATTGTTGTTAACAAAATTTTTTTTTTTTTAAAAGTTAAGGTGACCACTTGGGGGTCTGACATGTTTTATTTGCAATCTGGATCAAGTTCTGGCTTGGTTAAATAGATCTTATCTGACTTTGTTACACCAACGAGAGTACAATTGGTCACATATACAACTTTAGTCATTGCCTATTTAAGGGGAATCTACCAGGGCGACCAAGAATTTTTCGGGTCACGTGAAAACAACAAAACATCTTAAAATTTGTTAAAGTTAGAGTTATTGATATATTTAAGGTTAAAAGATAAAAAACATATAGTAAAATTGGTCGAAAAAATCTTTTAATTAGTGCATAAAAGGCAGATTCTTATGTTAGTTCTTGAGATAAATGATGTTTTTGTCAAAACGAATATTTGTTTTATGACTTTCCTGATCGTGTTACATTATACTGAATTACGGTTTCCCATTGGATGAATTTGCTGTTGATCGTCATATGACCTGAAAAATTCTTGGTTGCCCTGGTGGATTCATTTAAGAGGTTTGCTATATCTATTTCTATCTATAATTATCTACCAATTGCCATATCTAAGATCTGCTTGTAGATCTCCTATTTAAACCCTCTGATCGGCTTTACGTCGTCATGTCATTTTCACTACTGCCTAACTGTCGCTAAGGCTCTATAGGACTACTTTATCCTTGTGATAAACCTGCTAGAGTTTATTATACCCACAATTTGGCTAACCTAGTCTTTGGTAATTTACGTTCTTATCCGAGAACAAGTACTTGTGAGCTGAGGCTTTTACCATTATTGTTGCTTTTGCAAAGTTTACTCAAACCTCAGCACACACTTTACAGACTATTATCGATATCCTCAACTATCTCAAACTATCAATTCAGATGGCCCAGAAGGGCTGTGACCTGCTCCTGGTCTCCATGATTAGGTCCTTTTCTTCCGATACTCTGGTGGCTTGGTTGGTGGAGTGCTTTGCCAAACACTTTGGTCCTGTTCAGTTTTTGTCAGTTCTTCTGATAATAATCTTTTATGTAGTACCATCAAAGGTCTGTATTACCTCTCTACTCAGGTCTTGCCAAGTAGACATTCATCTTTTCGGTTCTTTAGATTTATATAATCTGAGAACATTTTCATGTAACTCATATGTTGCATAAATATCTAATGATCTTGTTGGTGCCACCAAGGTTACAGAGATCCTGTTCTAACTGATCATTGAAAGACAGTAGCCATTGTACAAGTAGAATATTCGAAATTTGTCGATAGTGGGTTTCAAACCCTCTACTTAGCCAACATTCTACTTGAAGATACAACAACTTAACCACTTCACTAAGTTGCTACACCCCATTGTTAACAAAATTTAAAAGATGTAAAATATCAAAAATAGATATAATTTAGGTGATTTTTCTTGAATAAAGCTTAGTTTTCTAATTTTAGTGACAAACTCTTCAGGATATTCAATATCTAAACTAAAAGATTTATTTTAGAAGCAAGTAGTAATCAAATCTTTACTAAGATAGTACTGGTTTAAAAATTATTTATACAATTATAAAACTTATAAAAAAATTTTATATAGTTTTGTTAGCTCTTCACTTTTTTTTTTAAGAAAAATTTTGTAAAAAGTAGACAAGTTAGCTTATTTTTTTCAAAAAATCAATATATTGTTTACCAAAACAGTTAATATTATTTGTATTTATTTTATTATAATAAATATATAGATATATATAGGCTCTAAATATACATAGGGTAATTAAAAAATTTTGCATATCGATTTATATCATGTGATCTAATGATTTAATCCCAAAATAGAAATGATAAATCTAAATTTATCCATTTGTAGTATTCGCATTAAAAAATTTTTAATATATTATATATATTGATTGTTTAATAATTATTATATTTTCTTATAGTCTTAAAGCAATTAGACAAAAATGAGCTGTGAAAACTAATATTATCTTATTTATGTTGGTTAGAAAAATAGTAAAGAAGTGTTCCAAATTCACTAGGAGTTGGTGAATGCTAAAGGTGATTATGCTCTATCTGTGAGCACTATTAATTGTTGGATTAAATTGTTTAATAGTGGTAAAGAGAACTGAAAAGATAAGCCATGATTTGGACGTCTTCGCAAAGCAATAATACAAACTAACATTATTAAAGTTACAAAATTTGTTAATGATGATCTATATATTACTATTCGTAGATTAGTATATAAGACTGGTATTTTATATAAACATATAAGTTTTATATTATATAATGAGTTAAACATGAGTAAGAAGTGTGCAAAATGGGTTCCTTATAAACTTTCACCTAACCAAAAAAAAGAAAGTGTCTCAGTTTTTAAACAACTTTTGAAGGTTTTAGATAAAAGTATTCAAATATTATTTATTACTTTTTTTTTTTTTAATATCAAAGTGACCTCATAGTCAGTTGCTTTTATTAGTTTATATACTAAGCTGATCGAAATCAGCTACTACTTATTTGGTATATGGTTTTAGAGAGTACAACTAGCTACACGTACAATTTTTGATTGCCTATTTAAGTAGTCTACCTGAAGGTTCTACACTAGATACTATACCTATAATCCAACTAGGGGATTACCTATTTAAACTCTCTGCACCACCATATCCTTATGAGGAACCAATATCTGCCATAGAAAGCACCTGACCTAGGGCTAATTTACCCTCAAGATAAACTTGCTAGAGCTTTCCATACCCACAATCTGGCTAATCTAGACTTCGGTAACTTATGCCGAGTCTGAAGATAGCAACTTGCAACCAAGACCAGTTGCTACCATTATCTACTTTTGCTCTTGTAGAGTTCACCTAGACCCCAGTACGCACTTTACAGACTACCACTAGTTTTAATCCTGACAATCTCAAACTACCAATTCAGATAGTCTGGAAAGACTATGACCTGCTCCTGGTCCTCACGGTTGGGTCTTTTTCCTCTGATTACTCTTCTGGCAGCCTGGTTGATAGAGTGCCTTGCCAAATACTTTGGTCTCGTCTGGTTTTTGCCAGTTCTCTCAATGATAATCTTTCGGTAGTACCATCAAAGATCTGTGCTACCTCTCTACTCAGGTCTTGCCAAGCGAGCGTTTATCATCCTTCTCGGTTCTCTGGGTTTACTATGATCTGAAAGCTTATTTATGTAACTTGTACATTGCACAAATACCCTATAATCTCCTAATCTTTGTTGATATTACCAAGATTACAGAGATATTTCAACTAATTAACAGAACAACAATAGCCATCGTACAGATAGAATTTTTGAAATTTGTCACCGTGGGTTTCGAACCCCCTATCTAGCCAACATGTCGCTTGGAGGTATGACAACTTAACCACTTCACTAAGTCGCCACATCCTTATATTATTACTAGAAATAAAACAGAATATATTTTTTTACAATTTCAAGCAAAAAAGGCAATAAGGTTTGGTTAAAACAAGAGGAAAGCAGGATGCAGATCATTAAAATAGCAAAAAATTTTAAAAAAAGAATATTTTGCATATTTTATATAGTAGAAAGTGTTGTAGTACAAATTGTTGTCAAGAAAAAAACTACAGTTAACTCTTATCTTTATGCTAATCAAATTCTGCCCAAAGTTTTTTTTAAATTTAAAGAAAAAAAAAATAGATCAATAGTTAGAGATGTGATGTTGTATTATGATAATACAACCCCTCATATAGCTGATATTATAACCAATTATCTTAAAAAAGAAAGAGTTAAAGTTTTTCCCATCTTCCATATAGTCTTGACCTTGCCTCCTGTAACTTTTTTTTATTTCCTAAAATTAAAAAAGAACTGGCTGAAAAAAGTTTTGATAGTATTAAAAATTTGGCATGGTCTGTTCAAGCAATTGTTAATTTGATTCCTAAAGAGGAATATCAAAAGTCATTTCAAAGCTAGAAATATTAGTTAAGAAAATATATAGAGGTTGATGGAAAATATTTTAAAGGAATATAATCATTAATTTTGTTGTTAATTATTATATTTTAATAAATAAACATAAAAGTGCAAAACTTTTTAATCACTCTACATATAAATTATAGAGTAATTATAAAGTGCACTTATAGTGGTTTTCATCTATTATATTTTTTATTATATTTTTTAAAAATTTCTAAATTTTTATAAATTTTGTATATAAAATTTTTAATACCAATTTTTTATATTAAAGTTAATATTAAGGTTAGGATTAGAGGTTGAGAAGGGTTTTTTGGGATGTAGAATATTTTTATTTAGAATATTTCATATCGATTAATTAGCCAATTTTTGAGATAATGTATATATAGATGTAAAATACTATAGATACATTTTAGTAAAATTCTAAATTATATATCTCAAATATGACAACCAAATAAACAATGCTTAGTGATATTAGTATAGATTTCTAATCTCTCTATAGTATCTAAATCAAAAAAATATTTTTTTTGTAGTTTTTATTTAGCTATACTAATTATATAAATTTAGTAAAGACTAGTTTAGATAATAGTATATAATTTTTATCAAGCCTAATACAGGCTTATAATTATTACTATTTATGAAATAATTTTTTTTTCTTCATTTATTTATTCTTTTTTTCTTGCTTTTCTTATATATATTTTCTTATATCATATTCCTTTATATCTTTGTTTTTTTTATCTGTTTTTTTCTTTTTTAAACAAAAATCTAAACAGATGCTGGTATATATTGTTATTTATATCAATTCTAGTTATTTTAATAGTACAATTAGTTATATATAAGTATTTATTGAAGTAGCCACATAATATTAGACTATAGTTTTATTATTATTTATTATTAGTAATAACAAAACTTAAATATAGATCACTAATGTTACTAGCCAAAATACCAAAAAATAATAATAATAAGAAATAATAACTAATTATAATATATAAATAAAATATAATAATAACTAAAAAATAAAAAAAAGAAATTCTATTACAATATTTCTTCTAGTCTTTGAAATTTGCTAGTAAATTATTTTATAGTTGCTTCTTTAGATAGTTTATCTTATTTTTTTTTTTGTAGAATTTTTTTTTGGTATTTTTTTTCTAGCATTCTTTTTTTTGTTTTTTGATATTTTGTTAATGAATTGTCTTGTAGTATTTTTTTAGTCTTTCAACTTTTGCTAATAAAATTGTCTTGCATTATTTCTTTGTTCTTTTGATATTTTGCTAATAAATTGTCTTGTAATAGTTCTTCTAGTCTTTTAGTATTTGCTACTTTACAGAAACTAGCTAAAAATTTTCAATAGGTTTAAGATAATTTTAATAATATTGATTCTATAAATTTATACCCATAAGATTATTTTACTATAAAAAAATATATATAAATTTTATAATGATTTTAAGCTTATTTTTTGATAATTATATTATAATCTTATTTTTTACTAATTTTAAAAAAAGAAAAATAAAAAAAAATATACTTTTTAAATGTAATTTTATGTGCTAAACAAGTTTATTTAAAGTACTAAAATACTATATATTAGTAAAATTTTGAGTTATAGTAATTTTTCTATAATTTTACTAGTAAAATAAGTAAAAATACTAAATTATTTAAAATTTTACTAATAAATAGTATCTTGATACTTTAAGTAAACTTGTTCAATACATAAAAATATATTAGAACAGTATATAATTATTTATATTTATAAATTAGATTAAGTAATAATCTTAAATTTATATTTTTAATAAAATTTTATTATTTTAATAAGGGTTTTCTAGACATCTCTGGCCAGAGATATATAATTTATATATCTCTGGCCTTTTAACCAATCAAAAAACAAAAAAGTCATATGATTAGAGTTCATATGTTAATTCGATTGCTAATACAAGGTCAGACAATCTTTCTCTGTATACTTTTATCCGATCCAAACAGATAAATTTATTTTGTTTTTTTTTTGATTTGTTTTTTGCTTACTAATTTTTTTTAGCTTACTTTCTTTTGTCATCATTAGTTTCGTTGTTGGCTTCATAACATTTAAAATAAGATATTTGGTTTTCTTTGTTTTGTTTTTTACTAACTTTATTCTTCTTTTTTCAAGTTTTTAGATTTTGTCTAATATAAATCAATACCAGGCAAATATAAAACGATACTTTCTGATAAGATATTGGTTTTCTTTTTTTGTCTTGTTTGTTAACTCTGCTCTTCTTAGGAGTTTAAAACTTTAAGAATTATTTTTTATTTTCATCTTTATTAACTTTTTTTTCTTTTATTAAGCTTTATTAAATATAAATCAGTAGTGGGTAGTACTTTGGATATATTATTTTCTTTTTTGCTTTTGGTTGTCTTGTTCTTTTTTTGTTATATTTTTTCTTTTCTTTGTACTTTGCTAAACATAAATCAGCCCAGGTGAATGTTAAGCAACTTTTTAGATATATTAGTTTCTTTTTTTTGTTTTTGGTTATCTTGTTTTTTTTTGTTTTGTTTTACTAACTTTTTTCTTTTCTTTGTATTTCGCCAGATATAAATCAGCATCGGACAAATTTTAAACAGTTTTTACTAACTTTTTTCTTCTTTTAGGGTTTCGCTATACGTGAATCAGCACTGGGGTGGTATTTTTGGGTAAGACATTCATTTTCTTTTGTTGTTTTTCTTTTTTCTTATAGTTTTCTTGCTTACTAATCTTGATCTTCCTTTTTTTTTTTTTTTTTAGGTTTTAGATTTTGCCAAACGTGAATCAGCACCGGGCAGTACTTTCAGGTAAGAAATTCATTTTTTTCTGTTATTTTTCTTTTTTCACTTAGTTTTCTTATTTACTAATCTTGATATTCTCTTTTTTTAGATCTTAGACTTTGCCAAATATAAATCAGCATCAGGATAGCACTTTCGGATAAGCAATTTGGTTTTTTTTTTGTTTTTTTGTTTTTTTCACTTAGTTTTCTCATTTACTAATCTTGGCATTCTCTTTTTTTTTTTTTTCAGATTTTAGGCTTTGCCGAGTATAAATAGTACTTTCGAGTAAGAAATTTATTTTTTTCATTATTTTTCTTTTTTTACTTAGTTTTCTTGTTTACTAATCTCAATATTCTTTTTTTTAGATTTTAGGCTTCATCGAATATGAATTAGCACTGGGCGGTACTTTTAGGTAAGAAATTCATTTTTTTTATTATTTTCCTTTTTTTTTCTTAGTTTTTTTGTTTACTAATCTTGATATTCTTTTTTTTTTTTCTTCAGGCTTTAGTCTTTTCCAAACGTGAATCAGTATCAAGTGACACTTTTGAGTAAAACATTTATTTTCTTTTATTGTTTTCTTAGTTTTCTTGTTTACTAATCTTGATATTCTCTTTTTTCTTTTTTCTTCAGGTTTTAGTCTTCGCCAGACATGAATTAGCATCAGGCTGGTACTTTTAGATAAGATATTTGTTTTCTTTTATTGTTTTCTTTTCTCATAGCTGTCTTGTTTACTAACTTAGGTTTTTGAGCTTTGTAAAGTATAAATCAACACTAAACAAATGTTTTTTGGATCTTTGCTTTATCAAAATATGTATTAGCTAAAGGTGCAGATATATTGTCATGATTAGATTGTAACCTAATTACTTCAACAAAAATAATCTGTTTTAAAATAGATCATAATTAATTATGACAATATGTCTGCATCTCTAGTATTAGCACTAAGTTTTTTTTAAATATTGGATACACAAGATTGAGTTTATGAGGTTATGATATTGTAATCGGTCATATTGATAATAATAAATATCATATATGCTTAATAAATTAAATGACATATAATAGTATTGAATTTTTGTATAAAAATTACTTCATTTAATTGGGTAAAATTTCTCTTCTTATATTTTTAGCATTAGGTAAATAAACATTGAAACAGATTAATATCTCGAATTGTTAAGCATAAATCATTGATAGTTCAATTAATTTATCAAAAACTTTTAAAGATTTTAATAATAATAAAGCTATTATAATCCAAACAAATCATCTAATTCTTTTATTGTAGAGTGTGTAATATTTTACTTTGAAATTAAAATTATTAATAAAGGAAACAATAGGTGCAATTTTAAATAAATATAGATTTTTCTCTAACATTAAGCAAAAATATTCCATAACGATCTGATCTAACTTTGAGCGAAGATATTTCCATAATCACCTAACCAAGTTCAATGAAAGTTTTTTATTAGAATTCTATAGATTCATAGAATTCAAATAAAAAATTTTTTGTCAAATTTGGTCATATAGTTGTGGAGATATCTTCACTCAAATTTTTTAAAAAATTGGTGCAGCTTCTATTTTGATAGATATTTTGATTTTCTCAAACTTTGAGCAAAGATATCTTCACAACCACCTGACCAAACTTGATAAATTTTTTTTTATTTGAATTCTATAAATCCATAGAATTCAAATAAAAAAATTTTTGTTGAATTTGGTCAGGTATTTGTGAATATATCTTCAAATTTTTAAAAAAAAAATTGTGCAGCTTTTATTTTAATATACATTTTGATTGTTCTCTAACTTTGAGCGAAGATATCTCTATGATCACCTGCTCAAGTCTAATCAAAGTTTTTTATTTAAATTCTATATATTTATAGAATTCAAATAAAAAAATTTTTGTCGAATTTGGTCAGGTGGTTATGGAGATAGCTTTGCTCAAATATTTTTAAAAAATTAACGCAACTTCTATTTTGATAGATATTTTGATTTTCTTCAAATTTAAGTGAAGATATCTCCACAACCACCTGACCAAATGTGATAAAAATTTTTTATTTGAATTCTATGAATCCATAGAATTCAAATAAAAAAAAATTTGGTCAAGTATTTGTAGAGATATCTTCAAATTTAAAAACATTTGTGCAGCTTCTATTTTGATAGGCATTTTGATTTTTCTCTAATTTTGAGTGAAGATATCTCTATAACCACCTGTTCAAATTTAATGAAGGTTTTTTTATTTGAATTCTATA